CTTCTACTTAGCTGAGAGGTATCAGGCAGAGACAGAAAACATGCAATCACAGGAGTAGGACAGATTCGCACTTGCTTGTGACTCATCTTCTCCTTTGCATTTTCAGTAATGTTTCTGTGCCTTTTTTTTTTTTTTTTAAACTTTTACAGCCAGCTGTTGATTTTGCATATATGGCATTCTAAGATTAGGGATTAATTTCCCTGATGTCCCTTGGTTCGTTTAATAACTGTTTACCAAGAATTTAAGATGCCACCAAAAAAGTAACATGATAATTTAGAGAAAATATTTACTAAGAGAGAATTAATTTCCTTTCTTTTTCTAAAGAATAAGCAAATGTGTTTCATTTGGGTAATGACCTTTAAACAAAATAATTAAAAAGCAAAATATCACAGAAACATTAGAGAAGCCAAGTGTGAATACTGAACAGTAATAAGTTTAGCTACAACACTACAGGTAATCACAGTGCAAGTTTATACTACAGTGATTCTTTTCTAAGGAATTACTGTAAGAAATCTGTACATGATCATTACAGTATGTTTGCACAATAGTTAAAAAAAGAAAAGTCATTTCAATATATAATTACTATTCAATGTTGGAAAGAAAAAAATATTTATTAACTGTCATGAAACCTCTTCATCTCTAAGTCAGCTTTTAAGTTGCTATGAGAAATTAATAATAGCCTTCAACATACTGAGTTTTCAGATGAAAGAAATTTATCAGTGGCACTTAGTGCGTTGTGGCAAAAAAGTATACTTTAACGAATGTGAAGTATGAAAAATATAAAAAAGTATATTTACTTTATAGCAATTATTTTAGATTTGTAATGGAAGGCTTGTGTTTTATATTCTGAAAAAAAATTACATATATATATATTCAAAAGTATTCTGGTAAACAGCCTTTGTGCTATCATTCTTTCCATAATTACTTCAAACTCATTTGAAATAGACATCTGAATAGACAGTCTGCAGGTTCAAGCTCATTAGAAGTGCAAATACATTTCCAACTAAAATAATGAAAAATTATCTTCCATTCAATAGAACCTAATTTTTAAAAAGTCAGAACGTGATGAGTAAAAAAACCTATTTGAAACAGCTAAGAAATCTAATTTCTAGGCATATGTTGCCAAAAATTGCAAAACAAAATTTTCAACAAAGAAAAAAAAAACAAAAGCCAGCAAGCAAATCTTCACACCATCATTACACAAGTCTATCAAAAACTCATTTACAAGCCTTCATCTTATTGAGGCTCATATGTAAGATGTTGCTCCTCATCCTAACACAGGATCCTCGGACTAGCTCTGCCTGGCATACGTGGTCCTGCCGTGGGAGCAGAGGCGCAGCACCAAGCTGCAGCCACAGCCACAGGGGCTGCCCCCACGCCGACACCTGAGAGCCAACAAGTGTCCCGATGGCATGGCGATGCCTCCTCAAACCATTCGAAACTCAAGTTTCCCTATGGCATGACTCAAAATCTCACGTGCACAGCATAACGAGGCCTGTGGCACACGGTCTTGAACATCAGGGAACAAAAAGGCTGAGAGATCTTCTGATGGTGCAATTTACAAGATTTTGTAGTCAGAATGATTTCTGGAGTTTTAAGAGGGAGAAACAAAAGTAATTCTTTCCCCTCTTTTCTCTGGGGTTAATACCAGTCCATTGAAAGGGCCCATGTGTCTTTCTCCAGTCTACCAAATCTCCCTTTTTTTCTGAGTAACACTGTTTTCCCAAGTAAAAACTCAAACTTCTCCAAAATATGTAGCTTACAACAAAGCGCCACCAAAAACTCAATTAAATTCCCGAATTGCTAACTATCAGTGTATCAGTCTTTCAATCAAGTTTGACCATGTTCAACAGCCTGGTTTATTCCAAAGTTTGCAGTAAGATAAAAGTATTAGATGTGCTAAAATTACATTCTCATCTCACTCTTAGCTGGATGGACTAGACTACAAGATACTGAAACATTAAATATTGAATTCAAACTTCCACAGCCTTGCAGCTCTGGTGAAGGCAACTGAAAGATAATGTCTTATACCACCATAACTCAAACATAACCTCTAGATCTTCAGTACCAAAGAGAGGAGATTCAAATAGCCAACCTTAAGTTTGTGCTTTGCCTAGGCTCAGCATTTGACCTTATAAAACTTAAAAACTACCTTCTTTTTATTGAAGAGAGACATAGGTTCTTCATGTTTTGAAAGTTGGTTTGTTTGTTTTTTTTTTGTCTGTTTTTAATTAAGTCCTACTTTCATGGTCCAAACTATTCACATTCATTAAATCTGTCAGACTACCACTAAGATTAACAACATTAGTGTGTAGTGAATCTACAGTCAGTTTCAGTTATTTATAGAATTCTATGTTGTTAATCAGTTTACTGTTTTTATTTCACAGATTGTTTAATACTTATTTCAGATTTTTAATGGGAAATGGATGAGCATGCTGAAACTCTCAGAATTATATCAAGTCTTTCTTTTTTGAGTTAATCAACTACAAGGTTCACGATGTTTGCAGGAAATATTTTGAATTTAGTGTTCTTTATCAATGCAGTGATAATATTATGTTCTCATGCAGAATAAAGAATAAGCCGTTTAAGAGTGCATCCTCAGGAGAACTGAAAAAAGTAATCTGTAGAATTATTTTCTCCCTAGGAACATAATCAGAACACGACAAATGCCTGAGCGTATCAGAAAATCTAGCCCAGTGATTTGCCTCCAGCAGTGCTAATACGAGAGGTATTTGAGAAGAGCACAGAAGATCGACTGCTTTCTTCAGTTCGTTCACCTCATACTCCCCCAGAAACCACCACCACTAGACTAAGGCTGTTAGAGGGCTGAGTTAACAATACCTTCCTCCACAGCCCTTTGTGGTCAGAAAATCGCAAATATTCAGTAACCACAATGTAAAAAACTACTTTTCAAGTTGGTTTTACAATCTCCTATAGCTCCAACAAGTAGTCTTTAATTCTGGTATTGAGAAATCTGGTGAATAACGTTTAGCAATTCTACCCCTTCCATGATTTTGTAAACCTTAGTCATACCCTTCCTCAGACTTCTCATCTCCAGATGAAAGTTGCTTTCCTTAGAAAATCCAGTCTGTGGGGCTGAAAAGATGAGGGAGGGAAGAAAAAACATGTACTGGGATCTCATCCCAGGCAGCACCTAACATGAGAGCAGATCCATTTTCTGGATCTGGCAGGAGAAAGTGTTTCTGGGTCCCACAGCTCTGACATAGCCAAGAAGACCAGACAATGAAAGAAATGTAAACTCCTCAGTTCTCACACATGTGGGTCTCACTACAATACATCACAAGCATTCCTATCAGTTTAACACAGCACTATTTGCATTCACTTTACAGCAATGCATCTTTCATGCAGCGTTCACTAACCTCGATCTCTAGGTTACTCTGTACTCAAAATCATTATCCAAGCTGCCATTCCAGAGGAAAACGAACAAACCAGGCAACAAATCAGACAAGCCAAAAGGAAGAATGTGTGTATGAGTGTTTACTTAAGACTCTTCAGCTACGGAATCTAATTGAACTATTCCCATTTAACAGCTCCTAGGCTGTCTTAGATTAGAGAATGTGCCAAGAAATTCCACATACTGCTAATACTGCATTGAGCCAAAATAGCATTAGATACACATTTCTGTTGATAAATGAAGGCAAGTACAACTCTGATGTTGACCAAAACCAGCACAGATTTCACATTATCAGACAAAGCTCAATCACCAATCTTTCTCTTATGTGTTGCTGCAGCAACTTACAGGGCTATTAAAAGGATGTGTTATTGTTTTCTAAGTGTTAGCACTTATGTAAGAAGCTAAGACTTGGAAACACAGATGGGTTTCAATTGTACAAAAAAACAGCTTTTAGTGTGATAAACAAAGGCCAAGGTCTCCCTTGTGTAACAAGCAACTTTACCATCAACACCTGGAAATGCAGCAGAAAAACATTCAAAGCCACCGTTGTAGCTTCTGATCGCTGTAGCTTACTTGCTACATCTTATTTTAATACGTTCCGAGTGAAAGTTTAATGATGATTAAACTCAACGATAACCTTTCAGGATGCTGCCCACCACTCCGGCAAACATTTTCACAGCTTTTGCCCTCTACAGCTCTTAACTGAAAAAACGGCAGGCATTTAATGTCCCGCTGAGAAATCTGAGGTAACAAAACTGTCGCACACTACTGGCAAATCTCTCACACTCATTAACATACCTCCATAAAGGATATTCTGTTTTTTTTTAAAAACCACGCATGAAGAAAGCTTTGCCAGTGACTATATTTTAAAGCAGAATGTCAGGTCAACTTAGACATCGCATCTAGTTTTAGAAAATAGACTTTTATAAAATGTAATATAAAAAGTAACATAGATATTTGATTTTTTTCCTATTGAAAATTCTCTTTTTAGAAAGAATCAAACCACTACTGTATTATTTGTAGCTCAAATGCTCTAGTTCTCTGTGACTATAGGAGAAAAGCAAGTTGATCTGAAAGTGATTATAAATAACATTACATTAACTAAGTCATTCTTTTCATCCAACTTGAATGAAATGCAGATGTTAACAGCACCAATACGAGAAGTGAATTAGATTACAATTAACTGTATCAATTAGCTAAGGTATTGTTAGTACCACAGATATATATTATATCGATATCTTATCGAATAGAAAGTTACTCTGAAATGCTAAACCAACTGTAAATTATCTAAATGGAGCTCAGATCTTTTCTACTTTTATCAGGAAATAATGTACGCTTGTTTATCTTCTAAACAGTGGAATTATAAAAATAAGGATTATGGAAGAAAGTGGTAGTCATGGATAGAAACAGGTAGAAAAGAATTAAACAGATGACTGAAGAAGTGAAATTTAATTACTGATAATTCATTATGAATATTTAAGAAAAATTGCAGAAGTTAAGGGATTTCCTTTTAATTTTTCAGTCAAAAGTAAATCCAAGAGAATCAAAAATAATTTCAGAATATTTTTGCTCTCTCTTAACCTACCTCTTTCTTTTCTCTACCAGCTGTCTGCAAATCTCCTGCCACCGGGTATTCAAGCTTTCCAGTTGTTCCTTCAGCACACTAGCATCTGCTGTTGATGACTGCTCAATAATCTCTTCACCAGTTACATTCAGTGTTTTGACAACAGCTTGCTGTCGCCCAATGCCATCCTGAAGTTCCTGCAAAATACCAGTGCGTACACATATTCATAAAAAATGTCAAGCATGAAACAAAATGCTTCACCACATACTGGCCAGATGGAAGGAGGTGAAAGTTTTTGCTCTCCTCTGAATTCCAAATGCATAAACAAAATTTATCATTAAAACACTATCATGCATGTTGTTCCCTTAATTAATTTTTAAAAAAGCTCTGAAACTGTAGCTTAGACTTGAACATTGTATACCTGTTCAAAAAAAGTTCATATTCATAAATAAGGATAGCAATCATTTCCCATTCTTACTAATCAGTGGAGCATGAGTAATTTTTTCTTCTGTATTCCTTAAAATGTACAAGCAGGGAAGTGTAAAATCATTTTCAACAGTTTACTGCTAAAATAAGCACAAACTGAAATAACTTCAACAATCTGCACTCTGGGATTCATATCTTTGCGATAGCTTTCACAATCTCAGGAAGTGTATTGAATCATATCTACATAACAAGAGCTTTCAAGTAAAATGTTGACTCTTTTTATCATCTTTCTTTCGGGGAAAAAAATATTTTAGTATATCATACTCTGGAATGATGCTGTATGTTTGCTTTCCATTCCCAGATATGTAAAATAAATGACAAGAGAAGTTAGTAAAACCATATATAAGCATTAAACTAAATTTGCCTATGAATTGGTTAAAATTGGCCGAATACAGCTTTTCAGAAATGCAGAAGACAAATAAAACAATGGTTCTTGATTTTTTTAATATAATTTCTCTATTAAGATCTTCAGGCAGGAGCCCATGATTAAAGTTTGCAAAGTAAACTACACTTGAAGTTGACATGTTCTAAGCTGACCACACCTCAGCTGACAATTACCTACTAACTCATGAAACTGCTGCAACTCAGCTGCATGCCTTATCCTACTTTTGCACAAATTTTAAACAGACAGCTGGAGCACCTACGGCAGTACACCGGAAGCACAGTAGCCAGCCAGCTACTGACGCATCAACGCACAGTCCTGCACAGGAATCACAGTCCAGACTAAGCTTATTCCCATCACCCACTCTGTTTGGGTTTGTTGTAATTCGTTTATGATGCTGTAAAAGAAAACTCTGTGAAAATTACTCTGGTCTATGCTACCCCTCAGTAAAAATTATTATTCTATTTTTTCCAAACTATTTTCATGTCCCATACTTTCAGAACAAAAGAGTAGCACAGTGACAAGTATAATGCTGCAGCAGTCTGCATACTATATTCTAGGTGGTACAATGCTGGAAAAATAGGAATTAAATTTGGGGGTTGTCAAGTTCATATTTGTTACAGAGATACAGTACTGCGTCTTCACAATAGAATTCCACCATGGAATTTAAAAAAAAAATCAAGTTAAGTGAGTAAAAAATGTAAATTAATATTCCTGGAGGCTTCTGAATTGGCCTTTGCCAATGGATTAAATTTTGGATATAAGAATATAAACTATTCTTTTATCTTTCATTTTGCTTATGCCATATGATACCATAATCTAAAACCATGCATTTTTCTGCTCTCTTTGCGTCTCTGAAGCTATAAGTAACTGGATCAATATAAGATCTGTAAGTTTTATGTGGCAATACTTGTGAATGGTTTACGCTTTCCTTTGTAGAACATTTTACGTAATTAAGTACAGGACTTCATTAGACATGAAATAAAATATCATGAACTTAGGATGCAAATGGTAAGACAGATCATTTGATAAATTTATCAAAATAAAAACCAGAAATTGGTGCTTGTTATCATTTGGAAGTCTTCTAAAAGACTTCATAACCAAGAAAGAACAAAATGGCTACATAGGAAAGGACAATTCCAGAAAAAATAAAAAAAGGCCAAGTTCATTTCTTTAGAATAGATTTTAAACTTTTTGCCTGAAGACGAGTAGCTCAGTAGAAATGAATGTTACACAGCACGACAGCTTCATGTGCTATACTGGCATATGTAGAGTACCTGTTATCTGCTTGTTGGTGAGAACATACGAAGGCAAGCTATCTGTTTCTGGCAGCAGTCTTCCTCTGCTACTATGAACTATCTCACACTTCCGTTAAAAAATAGCAACTTCTTCCAAAACAGTTACGATCTTTCATCTTCAAATACAAATACTTAGTTATTGTATACTAGAAATCTTTCTAAATGATCTTCCTCTAACTTCAAATTACTGCTATATATATTAATTATGACCAATGCATTCAGAGCAGTTTCCATGGAACATGCGAACTTGAAATTCATTCATTTTTTATTCATCTAAATCAAGTACACATTAACAACTCCAAAGTCAAAAGAAAAAAGAAAGGCACATTTTTGTTTCCTATGCCCAGCTCCTTAGCACAGAAGACCTAACGGCACAATTACCTTCAAGTGGCTCCACATGTATGAACTAATGACCACTGGTAGCCTTACAATCTGAACTTTTAAAGTAGAAGGGCCAGTGGAGTTGAAATAAATATTTTTATAGGTGAATAAGAGACAGGGAAGAAATTAAGCTCTCTCCTCACATGGAATTTTTTCATTGATTTGAAGGAAGCATAGCTGGCTACAGGAACTGTCACAAGCACACTAGATGAGACGGAAAGAGGAGACATCTCTAGATGAAATTCAAGGCATGAAACTTAAGGTTCTTCTCTGAAACACCTTATGGAGGATCTTTCCGTTAACAGATGCATTTATAGAAGGTGCCTAAAGCTCTGTTAGATGAATAGCCATACAATAGTTCTCCAAAGAACTCTCCTTTTTCACGATTTCATAGCATATGTGGAAGTTCAATTAGATCTTGAAAAATACAATATATTTCCCATTCACCAGAAATCGTATAATTTACTTTCAGTCTTACAAACTCAAATGACTCCCTTCCATTGCCTTATGCCCCAAATCAATCCATTCTATGTAATGCCTTCCTGTTTTAGCATGTTTTGATAGGATGAGGTTAGCACTTTTAAAACAGAAACTCTTTTTTGCTGAATGCTGTGCTATAGTCCAGTCACGTAGCCTCAAAGATGTTCCAGGCCTAAAGTGTCCAATTTTGCTTTGCTTGTGGAACATGCAAGATTTTAAGACAGCACTGTAGCAGAAACTGCAAGATCTTCTGAGACCCAGGGACTCCTAAAAGCTTACTTTGCTTTCTTCAATGTATCAGATTTTCTTGTCGTTCCATGGTAATGAGGATGCATGTTGACGAAACAATAGATGGTCAAATCCTCGGTCCAACCCTTATTTTCAGGTATGTGATTTGCTATTAGGAATAGCAGTACTGGTCAGATAGTTTGCCTAAATGGAAATAATCTCTACCATTGTGAGGCTGAAAAGTTATCGATCTTTGCAATACCCGGCTCAGTTGGGGAAAGCCCAGCTTAAAATGAGTATCTAGTTTTTGTATGGATATACTATATTTCACATGGATTTTAATTCTAGAGCCTTTGCATTCTGCAGCAGAGAGCATTACACAAACAACTCATAACAGTGAGATGTATAGTCTGAGGAGAAATATATTACACTAAGTGGCTTATTTCCTGTGAACCACTCGAAACCATTGTGTTTTTTCATGCACCTGTATGATCGTAAGATGCGTACCACTTCTTGAAAAGCTAACTGAGAATAAAAAGCTTCTACATATATATTGCAGGACTGCTTATTTGGAACCGTGCAAACACAGAACAAGGCAGGGAACTTCTACTTCTTGAATTACAAAGCTTTTAGAATTAAAATCTGTAGAAACAAGAGGTGATCTTTTTCTAAAATGAGAGAAATAATCACCATTCAGCATATTATTGTAAACCAAAAACCTAATTAAAAGTCTCTTTAAATAATGTCATTGAGCTCTTTTTCTGAGTTCACAGTATTTTAAACTAGTTTCTCTCCCTCCCCAGCACACATGAAAAAAAACGTATCTGGCAGCTATTAAATCATTTCCACACTTATTTCAGTTGAGACAAAATTAACCAAGGGAATCTTTATTCTGTGATATATTATGCAATAGGCCTTTCTTACAAGGAGAAAGAAGAAAATAGCTCAGCCGTAAAGGCAGTCATGAACCTCCTGCAGAATCCCTCCTGCAGAAATAGCCAAACTATTTGTGTCGCGCAGGATGTGCACAAAGGAGAAGTGTGAAATTCCATCACGCCATGAGAAAATGCTTCTGGCCACCTGCATTTCAGGTCACCAAACAGAACAGAATTAGAGAGCTTTACCTGAGATTTACTCAGATTTTTTTTTTCCCCGGAAGCGCTTTACATACTTGACGCCTTTCACGTGATCAAGCAGAAGCAAGTATGCTGATCAAGTTTATTTAGATTCCATAGCTAAAGAAAAAAGTAGATTATTCTTGATAGTGGATACCACATACGGCACAGCAATCCATGAAGATATTTAGCTTTATAAAACATATTTTGGATAAAGTGGACAAAAGCGATTTGAACCGCTTTGCTAAAATTCAGAGTTTTACACATTGATCCCCAAGTTGTAAACCACGAACACACTTTTCACAGCTTGCATTCAGTGACTAAAACTTGTCTACGATTACACTTCCTTATTCCCTCTTTATCTTCCCAATACACCTGCACGAGGACAAGGTGCTCGGAAGAGAACCCATAGAAGGGATTATCTCTCTTGACCTTACAGGACATGGTGCTACAGAAGGAGTATTGACACTGAATCTGCTTCCTGTAGTTCCACTTGGTATTTCACTCCCTCATACAGAAATGGCAGAGCAAAAGGCCACATTGCCCTTTGGATTCATAGCATACTTACAAAGCTATCTATCTCAAATACTTACACTTGCAATTATACTGCTTCTAATCGCTTCATGAACATAGTGAGCAAACATACTTAACTAAAAAAGATGAGATGTTTATATCAGCCCAGAAAAAGACTAGAGCTCATCATATGCACACACAGAGCTAAGCACAGTTTTCGGTGGACGGGAGAAAGCGCATGATGCACTAGGTGTTTTTGAAACTTTACACAGCAGAGTCTGATATTTGCCTAGCATTATTTGCTTCTAAGAAAA